TTTGCACTTTTAGTAGAGATGGGGTTTCACCATGTTGACCAGGATGGTCTCGATCTCTTGACGTCGTGATCCACCCGCCTCGGCCTCCCAAAGTGCTGGGATTACAGGCTTGAGCCACCGCGCCCGGCTATTTTCTGTATTTTTAGTAGAGACGGGGTTTCACCATGTCGACCAGGATGGTCTCGAACTCTCGACCTCGTGATTCACCCGCCTCGGCCTCCCAAAGTGCTGGGATTACAGGCTTGAGCCACCGTGCCCAGCTTTTTTTTTTTTGTATTTTTAGTAGAGGCGGGTTTTACCATGTTGGCCAGGCTGGTCTCAAACTCCTGACCTCAAGTGATCCACCCGCCTCTGCCTCCCAAAGGGCTGAGCTGCCAGGTGTGAGCCACCACGCCCAGCCCATTTTCTCTTGCCTTCAAACTCAAACCCAGACTGCACAACACCAGCACCCTCCTGGGTCTCAGCCTCCACGATCGCACGAGCCGATTCTGCATGGCGAGTCTCTGCACATCATCTTCTGTGAGTGGTTTCTTGGAGAACCCGACAGAGCCCATTTGTCCAGAGCAAACCCCTACAGAACGCACGCCCCACCCTCCCCTCCTCCACTGCCCTCTCTCCTAGCTGCTGATCCCCACCCCTGCCCCAGCCTCATTGCCTTCTAGAGGTTGTAGCTACAGGGGACTTTGAGCTCAGCTGCACGCCCCCTTAGGAGGTCCTTAGAAAACGTTGCAACTCACCCTGTGGTCCCAGCCCCAAACCCGCCCCGCCTCTCCCCCCTGCTCTTCCCCTTCATAGCGGTCCCTCCCCACCTTCTCTCTCACCCTCCTCATGTCTCAGGTCCTTCTTCCCCACAGCTGCAGGCTGAGCTCTGATCTTGCAGTCCCTTGGAGCCGCCAGCATCTGTGACAGGCCAGGCACGAGCGCCTGATGGAGGGTGAGGAGGGATGTGGGGTCCTGTGTCTGGGGGTCACAGCTGACCCTGGTGGGCCCTGGCTGGCATCCAGGGCGGTGCGGCAGCTGAGCATGGCTGGTGGCCTGTGCCATATGGGTCTGTGCTCCCGTGCCCACGCCCACGCCAGCTTGGGTGGAGTCTGGCGGCCGGACTGTTCACGTCTGGGCCTGAGTCTGTGGTGGATTTGCCAATGCCCGCCCTGACCTGCTCTCCCAGCCCCACTCTCCCGGATGGGCCCCGTGGGGGATTCTGAGGCCAGCCTCGGGCAGGGACCGTCAGGCTGGGGGCTGTCCTGGCTGAGGGGTCACCACCAGTGGCTTCACCAGCAGGTCCCTCTCCTGAGGAGCCCCTGTGTCCTGGGGGCACTGCCCTCTGCCCTGGCCATGACCTCAGAGGTCCAGCACAGCAGGGCAAAAGGGGCATGCTGCCGGCAACAGTGGCCTCTGGGCAGTAGAACAGGGAGGGGTTCCGGGAATTCGAAGGGGACGCCGCGAGCAGGCGGCGGGGACCTTGAGCACGGCACCCTTGGGCTTCGGTGTCTGTGAAACCGGTCTGAGGTGGACACTCAAGGCAAGGTGGGGCCTGGGGGCTTGGTCCTCCTCCAGCCGGCCCACTCCTCTCAGAACCACACACCACGGGCTGGCCAGGCCAGGCCAGTGCCCACTGGCACCCCTCCCCCATCCCCATGCAGCCCCTCCGGCCACACGGTTGACCCCACGCCCGCCTGCTGCAGCTGCCGCCCTCTGGTGGCCAAATCCTGATGAGCCACCGTGGGGTCTGTTCACTGGGGCCTTGCTGGGTCCTGCAGGGCCAGGCCCTGGGGGTTCAGCTCATGGAAGAATGAGCTGTCCCTCAGGGTGGGCTCCGCCTGTGAGCTCGGAGGACCTGGGAAAGCTGAGCAGGTGCCTGGGGCCACTACCGCCTCCATGGCTGTCCTGCCCTTTAACCCACGCCCTCACCACTGAGAGCGAGGCTGCTGTTTCCCCATTTCCCAGTCCTGGAAACTGAGGCAGAGAAGCCAGGCCCAGCCCACCTGGCTCATGGGAGGTGGACTGGGATGTGCTCACAGGACAGACATCCAGAGACGCCAGAGCTGCACAGAGCCCGCCGGCCCGCTCTGTCCCCACCACTGAGCCCCATCTCAGGGGCCGCTATGTCCCCAGTGGGAGCTGGGCCTCATCCCCCACCACTGAGCCCCCTCTCAGGGGCTGCTATGTCCCCAGTGGGAGCTGGGGGCCTCATCCCTCACCACTGAGCCCCCTCTCAGGGGCCGCTCTGTCCCCAGTGGGAGGTGGGGGCCTCATCCCCCACCTCTGAGCCCCCTCTCAGGGTGGCTCTGAGAGGCCACTTTGGGGCTCAGTGTCCGTCCACTGTAGCCAACGTCCCTCTGAAGTTACCAGCAGGGACTGAGGAACCCTCTCGCTCTGCTCCCAGCCTCTGTTGGGGATTCATCAGTCAAAGATGCCCTTTTGTCAAGGAGGAGATGAGGCCCAGTGGGAGACATTTTAGAGACACTTACTTGGGGGTCCCAGATGCCCCTCTGAGCTGCTGCATGGGGTCAGAGGCTAACTAGCAGGAATTCACCGAGAGATGTGAAGGCTACCTGACCATCACCATGAAGAAGGCGTCACTGTGTAACAGCCATCGGCCCCAACTCCAGACTCCAATGCCCCCAGAGCCCCAGGCTGTCTCTCTAGAATGTTCTATAACCCTGAAGCTCCCCCTGCCCCAACCAGGGAGCAGCTTTGATTTTCATTCAGTAAATCCTTTCCACCCCAAAGGGAAAGGTGGGGCAGGACAGTGTGCCCTGGTCTCAGCTGGGCAGGGAGGCACATGAGAGCACAGAGAATTCCAGAACAGAGAGTATGTCCAGGGCCCGGGCCCTCCTCACGCAGCTTCCGGGAAGTGTTCGTGGAGGAAGGGGCATGTGAGCTGAATCCCAAGGCTGCGCAGGACTGCAGGGGCCCACAGGCAAGGAAGAAACAGCCGATGGCGGGGCCGGGGGTGGGGGGTGGGGCGGTCTCTGGAGGGCCTGACGGGTCCAGACCTCATCCTAGTGACCACGGGAGGGCTTGTGGGGGCAGACAGGAGGCTCAGTTTCCCATCAGCAAGCGGCGGGTCTGCGAGCAGCTCTCCCACCCACCTCCACCTGCCCCTCACACCTGGTCCCACCTCCCAGAATCCCAGGAAGCCACAGCGTCACCTGCCCCTCACACCTGGTCCCAGCTTCCACCTGCAGTGGTGCCCTGGGCTCCTCGGTCACACATCCTCAAGTGAGCACCCCAGTCCCCTGGGCTCCCAGCTCCCTGGGGCACTCACCCTGGCCTCTGCAATGCACGCTTGCTCTCCAGGGAGGCCCCAGACTAGGCAGCTCCCCTCCCACGCCAGCCTCACAGCTGGGCTGGCCCCACTCAGCCACCTGCTGCCCCTCCCAGGCCTCTCTTCAGGGAGGTGAAACTGCCCTATTTCCTGCAGGAACCCTCTGTTCTTTGAAAGTAGAAAGAGGGGCCGGGCATAGTGGCTCACGCCTGTAATCCCAGCACTTTGGGAGGCCAAGGCGGGTGGATCACGAGGTCAAGAGATCGAGACCATCCTGGTCAACATGGTGAAACCCCGTCTCTACTAAAAATACAAAAAATTAGCTGGGCATGGTGGCGCGTGCCTGTAATCCCAGCTACTCAGGAGGCTGAGGCAGGAGAATTGCCTGAACCCAGGAGGCGGAGGTTGGGGTGAGCCGAGATCACGCCATTGCACTCCAGCCTGGGTAACAAGAGCGAAACTCCGTCTCAAAAAAAAAAAAAAAAAAGAAAGTAGAAAGAGGACAGAAATGGATTAGGGGAGGGAGTGGAGGGGAGGGGAAGGTTGAAAAGGGCTGGGGTCAGGTCAGAAGGAAGGGCTGTCTGCAGGAGGGAGAGAGGAGGAGGGAGCTTTGCGCCCTGACCTCCCCCAAGGCTTCTGTGGAGACCAGACCGCCATTGTAAGACTAACAAATTAGCTACAGATTAGAAATGATGGTTTAGGAGGCAGGGCTCGGTGGCTCACACCTGAAATCCCAGCACTTTGAGAGGCCGAGGTGGGTGGATCATGAGGTCAAGAGTTCATGAGCAGTCTGGCCAACCTGGAGAAACCCCGTCTCTACTAAAAATACGGAATTAGCTGGGCGTGGTGGCGCGTGCCTGTAATCCCAGCTACTTAGCAGGCTGAGGCCTGCTAAGAATTGCTTGAACCTGGGAGGCGGAGGTTGCGGTGAGCCGAGATCCCGCCATTGCACTCCAGCCTGGGCAACAAGAGCAAAACTCCATCTCAAAAAAAGAAAAACAAAAAGAGAAAAAGAAATGATGGTTTAGGGCTATTCTGGACAGCCGGCTCTGGAGTAGCCCTACTCCACAAGGAACAGTATTAAAAAAAGAAAAAAAAAAAAACGAGGCTCGTACTGTGGCTCATGCCTGTAATCCCAGCACTTTGGGAGGCCGAGGTGGAAAGAAGACTTGAAGTTGGGAGTTTGAAACCAGCCTGGCCAACATGGTGAAACCCCATCTCTACGAAAATAATGCAAAAATTAGCCAGACATGGTGGCACACACCTGCAGTTCCATCTACTCAGGAGGCTGAGGCAGGAGAATTGTTTGAACCTGAGAGGTGGAGGTTGCAGTGGGCTGAGATCACACCGCTGCACTCCAGCCTGGGTGACAGAATTAGTCTCTAAGTAAATAAGAAAATAAATAAAAATTAAAAAAGAAATTGTGGGCCGGGTGCGGTGGTTCACACCTGTATTCCTAGCACTTTGGGAGGTCGAGGCCAGTGGATCAACTAAGGTCAGAAGTTTGAGACCAGCCTGACCAATATGGTGAAATCCTGTCTGTAGCAAAAATAGAAAAATTAGCCGGGTTGGGTGGCAGGTGCCTGTAATCCCAGCTATTCAAGAGGCTGAAATAGGAGAATTGCTTGAACCTGGGAGGCAGAGGTTGCAGTGAGCTAAAATTGTGCCACTGCTCTCCAGTCTGGGTGACAGAGCCAGACTCCATCTCAAAAATAAATAAGTAGCTCAGTCTGAATTGGCGGTGAGCGGAGCCTGAGGTCGCTGGGGACTGCCCACTGGGCCTTGCCCGAGATGGACAGCCGGATTCCTTATGATGACTACCCGGTGGTTTTCCTACCTGCCTATGAGAATCCTCCAGCATGGATTCCTCCTCATGAGAGGGTACACCACCCAGACTACAACAATGAGTTGACCCAGTTTCTGCCCCGAACCATCACACTGAAGAAGCCTCCTGGAGCTCAGTTGGGATTTAACATCCGAGGAGGAAAGGCCTCCCAGCTAGGCATCTTCATCTCCAAGGTGATTCCTGACTCTGATGCACATAGAGCAGGACTTCAGGAAGGGGACCAAGTTCTAGCTGTGAATGATGTGGATTTCCAAGATATCGAGCACAGCAAGATTATCATCGCCAAAAGGAGCGGACTGTGCACTAGAGTTGCAGCCCACAGCCCTTCATGTGGACTGTACCATGACATGCTAACTAGACTTCAGGGGAGCTACTTCTACTTTCAGCCCTTCCCTGTAATAGTGGAGTTGGTAGGATGGGAGACAGCTAACCAACTGCATTACCCAAACTGTATTACACTTTTGGTTCCCTAGTTTTCTAGGTGAGCTTCATTCCCTGAAAGGAGAAAGATGATGATATTTAGGCAAAACCTAGCCTGTGAGGAATGTAGTTAGGAAAGACAACTGACATTTATTGAATACCATGTACTAGTCCCTTACACATGTCATATTTTAATTACAGAAATCAGTAGCAAAAAGAATCTTAGGGATTTCCCATCTGACTTGCCTGGCCATCACATCCCATCATTGTACTACCGGAGGTTTCATACACTTTGGAGACTCCAATGAGACCGTTTTTATCCCTTCCTCCTCTTAGCCTCTCCCCCCAAAGGAAAACACAACGCTGAAGAAAATAAATAAATAAATAAATAAATAAATAAATAAGTAAATAAAAATTTTCAAAGTACAAAACCACCCTGTTCTTCTGCAGCCAGGAGCTGCAGAGAAAGGGAACCTGGAAAGCCAGCACACCTGCAAAGGGAGAGAATTTCTTACCAGCCAGGCTTCTGGCCTCTCTCTCCCTGTGCAAACCCGGTGGGTGAATGGTGGAAGTCACTGTCTCCTCTGGAAGGTTTTTATTAGCAGGAAAAGGATTTGTGTGACTAGTCCTTTCTGTCTGCGTCATTCTGTCCCGGAGGGATACACAGGACAGAATATGGTCCAGGACCCCAGCCGCCCCATGTTGCAGCAGCCTTGGCAGAATGCTCAGTTGTGAGCCTTGCTGTGGGTCCCTGCTGAGGTTTCCTTCCTGTCTTGTGTTCTTGAGGGACTGACTTTAGGGCCATGTTGGGGGTCTCTTGGTCTCCGCCAACCTTGGACTCCTGGACTCAAGTGATCCTTCCCCTTCCCGCCTCCCACAGTGCCCAACCTCTATCAGCATATTCAGTCTTCAGTCCCGTATTATTAACTCTTATGCTTGATCTTGGGTTAGTGGTTTCATAAACCTGTCAGTGTTTGTTATGAGTTTTAGAAACCCTGACTCCGTCCACTGGTAGGATCTCCAAGCTGCGCAAGCAGCCTCCTGAGACTCCAGTGTCCAGTGCTTGGCACTTCCTGTTGAAGACAGGTGCCCTGGCCTGCAGCTGATGACAAGAGCATTCAGGAAAGCATAGGAGCATGGATCAAAAACCTGAAAATCATGGAAGATCTGATGAGAGTTCATTATAAAAACACACAAGGAATTCGGGTTGATTTTGTGACATACGATGTGTGTTTTTTTTTTTTTTTTTTTGAGACGGAGTTTTGCTCTTGTTACCCAGGCTGGAGTGCAATGGCGTGATCTCGGCTCACCGCAACCTCCGCCTCCTGGGTTCAGGCAATTCTCCTGCCTCAGCCTCCGGAGTAGCTGGGATTACAGGCACGCACCACCATGCCCAGCTAATTTTTTGTATTTTTAGTAGAGACGGGGTTTCACCATGTTGACCAGGATGGTCTCAATCTGTCGACCTCGTGATCCACCCGCCTCGGCCTCCCAAAGTGCTGGGATTACAGGCTTGAGCCACCGCGCCCGGCCATACAATGTTTTAAATAACAACTGAAGCCCGGGCGCGGCGACTCACACCTGTAATCCCAGCACTTTGGGAGGCTGAGGTGGGCGGATCATTTGAGGTTGGGAGTTCAAGACCAGCCTGACCAACGTGGAGAAACCCCGTATCTATCAAAAATACAAAATTAGCCGGGCGTGGTGGAAGGTACCTGTAATCCCAGCTACTCAGGAGGCTGAGGCAGGAGAATTGCTTGAACCTGGGAGGCAGAAGTTGCAATGAGCTGAGATGGTGCCATTGCACTCCAGCCTTGGCAACAAGAGGCAGGAGAATCACATACGGCAGAGGTTGCAGTGAGCCTAGATTGCAGCATTGCACTCCAGCCTAGGTGAAAGTGTGAGACTACAGCTCAAAAAATAATAATAACAACTGAAATCATAAATGGTAACATAGGAGAATAGATTGGATAATAAGGGCATTGACAATATTTTAGGAAATTTATATAATTTCTGAAATAGCAACATTTTAACTGTATAAATACAATGTAGGGAAGGTTTAATGTCTCTTCTGTGACAATGGTTTCCATGTAATTGAATATATCAAATAAACAGAATTTTTTTTTTTTTTTTTTTTTTTTTTGAGATGGAGTGTCACTCTGTGGCCAGGCTGGAATGCAGTTGGGTGATCTCAGCCCACCACAAACTCCGCCCCCCAGGTTCAAGTGATTCTCCTGCCTCAGCCTCCTGAGTAGCTGGGATTACAGGTGCCTGCTAACACACTCAGCTCATGTTTGTATTTTTAGTAGAGATGGGGTTTCACCATCTTGGCCAGGCTGGTCTCAAACTCCTGACCTTGTGATCCACCCACCTCAGTCTCCCAAAGTGCTTAACAGAATTAGTTTAACATCTCTTTTTTTTTTTTTTTTCTTTTTGAGGCGGAGTTTCGCTCTTGTTACCCAGGCTGGAGTGCAATGGCGCGATCTCAGCTCACTGCAACCTCCGCCTCCCGGGTTCAGGCAATTCTCCTGCCTCAGCCTCCTGAGTAGCTGGGATCACAGGCACGTGCCACCATGCCCAGCTAATTTTTTGTATTTTTAGTAGAGACAGGGTTTCACCTCGTTGACCAGGATGGTCTCGATTTCTTGACCTCGTGATCCACCTGCCTCGGCCTCCCAAAGTGCTGGGATTACAGGCTTGAGCCACTGTGCCTGGCCCCCAACATCTCTCTTTTAACAAGGTGGTAGAACAAATCCTTTCAAGCTGTCAGTTTCAAAGGATTTGAAGTTTGAGATTTTCCAGGGACCCTCTAGAAAACTTCAAAGTCAGTTTGAGGTAAAGAAGATTTAATTTAGAATTTGATTTTGATTTTGGGAAGCTGGCAAAGATGTCAAAAGACCTGAATACTTAAATAGGATCATATGTCATTATGAAACAACATTTCATTATCTGTTTAACCAAAGTGACAATAAAGATTTCAAAGGTAAATATAGCAGATAACATAAAAAAGAAAATAAACTACCACATGCATAAGAGGAAAGGAGTGTGGCCCACCAGAGCCCTTCTGGAGGATAATGGTTAAAAAAAAAAAAAAAAAAAAAAACCCATGGGTCAGATCCAGTGGTTCACATCTATAATCCCAGTACTTTGGGAGGCTCAGGCAGGAGGATCCCTTGAGCCCAGGAGTTCTGGACCAGCCTGGGCAACTCAGTGAAACCCCATCTCTATTTTGTGTGTGTGTGTCTTGCTGTGATGCCCAGGCTGGAGTGCAGTGGTGGAATCTCAGCTCACTGCAAACTCTGCCTTCCAGGTTCAAGCAATTCTCCTGCCTCAGCCTCCCAGGCAGCTGGGATTACAGGTACCCCGCGCTATGCCTGGCTAATTTTTGTATTTTTAGTAGAGACTGGGTTTCAGCATATTGGCCAGCCTGGTCTTTTTTTTTTTTTTTTTTTTTTTTTTAAAGACAGAGTTTTGCTCTTCTTGTCCAGGCTGGAGTGTACTAGCGAGATCTTGGCTTACAGCAACTTCCAGCTCCCAGGTTCAAGTGATTCTCCCGCCTCAGCCTCAAGAGTAGCTGAGATTGCCGGACGCGGTGTCTCAAGCCTGTAATCCCAGCACTTTGGGAGACTGAGGCGGGTGGATCACCAGGTCAAGAGATCGAGACCATCCTGGTCAACATGGTGAAACCCCGTCTCTACTAAAAATACAAAACATTAGCTGGGCATGGTGGCGCTTGCCTGTAATCCCAGCTACTCAGGAGGCTGAGGCAGGAGAATTGCCTGAACCCAGGAGGCGGAGGTTGTGGTGAGCCGAGACTGTGCCATTGCACTCCAGCCTGGGTAACAAGAGCAAAACTCCATCTCAAAAAAAAAAAAAAAAAAAAAAGAGTAGCTGGGATTACAGGCATGCACCACTATGCCCAGCTAATTTTTGTATTTTTAGTAGACAGGGGTTTCGCCATGTTGGCCAGGCTGATCTCGAATTCCTGACCTGAGGTGATCCACCTGCCTCAGCTACCCCAGGTGCTGGGATTACAGGTGTGAGGCCCTGTGCTCAGCCGACCAGGCTGGTCTTAAACTTTTGATCTCAAGTGATCTGCCTGCCTCAGCCTCCAAAGCGCTGAGATTATAGGTATAAGCCACAGTGCTCAGCTGCATCTGTTTTAAATAAATTTTTAAATTAAAAATAATAGGCCAGGTGTGGCTCACACCTGTAATCCCAGCACTTTGGGAGGCCGAGACAGGTGGATCACAAGGTCAGGAGATCAAGAACATCTTGACCAATATGGTAAAACCCTGTGTCTACTAAAAATACAAAATTAACCAGCGTGGTGGTGCGTGCCTGTAATCCCAGCTACTCAGGAGTCAGAGGCAGGAGAATTGCTTGAACCTGGGAGGCGGAGGTTGCAGTGAGCCAAGATTGCGCCACTGCACTCCAGCCTGGGCAACAAGAGCGAAACTCTGTCTCAAAATAGTAATAATAACAATAATAAAAAAATTTTAAAACGAGGTGATGTTCCAAGCTAAGCCAGTGGGAAACAAAAACAAAAACAAAAGGTGGTGAGCGGGTCTTTGTGATGCTGACAGCAGGCAGCACTGTCGGGAACGAGGCATGTTATGTCCGGCATCACCTAACAAGGCTTGGCTGGAACTGACACCACGCAGGACCTGGGTGTCAGTGAGAGGGACAGAAAAGACCTCACATGCTCCGGGCTACGACCTTCATGTCGCTCGGCTCCGAATGAGGCTCTTACCGTACTCATCACTTTCAACACACACATTTACATTTTTTTTTTTAGATGGAATTTCACTCTCACCAGTCTGGAAAGCAGTGCTGTGATCCTGGCTCACTGCAACCTCTCTCTCCTGGGTTCAAGCAGTTCTGCTTCAGGCTCCCAAGTAGCTGGGACTACAGGTGCGTGCCCCCACATCCAGCTAATTTTGTATTTTTAGTAGAGACGGGTTTTCACCATGTTAACCAGGCTGTTCTCAAACTCCCGACCTCAGGTGATCCGCCTGCCTCAGGCCCCCAAAATGCTGGGATTGCCTGCGTGAGCCACCACACCTGGTCGCACATTTAAAAATTATATAAAAATCATGGTTCTAGTATGGCAGAGGCAAGCTTTCTGGTTCTGTCCATGCAGAGGACGTGAACCCACCATCTTTCCCACCACCCACACCCGTGCCACCCTGAGCCAGCAGCATTTTCATCACAGGAAAACGGTGTTATCTTTCAGAAATCAAACACACGCCAGCATTGCTAACCTGACACCCGCACCTTGGCCTGGCCCTAGATGTGCTGGGCTCTGGATTGCTCTGCTTAATTGTCCTAGGAGTCGTCACAGTGTGTTGATGCGTGAACTGAGGTGCAATA